TAAAAGGGGTGGGGTGGGGGTCTTGGAAGGAATGCATATACAATAATAGCATTTTGTATCTATTTTTATATATCTTCCCCTGGGATTAGGGATAGGTTTTTTTATACATTTTTGTGTCAGCTGATCAATAAATCAACAAACAATTATATAAATACTGACAATGTTTCAGGTACTATGATGGGCAATCCTTAAGTCTTTAAGCAAATAAAATAAAAACATCCCTGCCCTCAAGGAGCTTACATCCTATTGAGGGAAACAATATGGACACATGTAAAACTATTTCAACATATACAAAGCTATTACAGTGTAAGTCTGTGAAGAGAATTAGGAAAGTTAAGGGGATAAGTGGGAGGACAATAAGTTCTGTTTGGATCAAGTTGGGCTTGAGATGTTGGCATGATGCCCAGTTAGAAATGTCCAGTAAGCAATTACCTGGTTGACATAAAACTGGAGCTCAGGAAAGAAAGTAGGACTAGATCTGGGAGCCACCTGTGTAGGAATGATTATTGAACCCATAAAGCTAATTAAGTCATCAAAACAGAGAGAAAAACCATGTCAGAGCCTTGGAGTTGAGTCTACAATTCGGAAAATAAGAAACAGTCAGCTAGGTAGATGGAGAACCCAAAGAGAGTGATGGAATGGAAACGCAAAAAGGAAAGAGTATTCCAAATAGGTCAGTCAGTGCTATCAAATGCTGCTGGGAAGTCAATAAAGATAAGGCTTGGAAAATGACTGTTGGGTTGACTGTTAAGAGATAGTTTTAGGTTGAGTGATAAGGTCATAATACATACTATAAAGGCTTGTGAGTTGAGGTTGAGCAAATGAAGTGAAGTAACCAGTTAAAAGTATAATTGAATTTTTCTAGGAGTTTGGCAAGAAAGGTAAAAGAGGTAGTGAGTGATAGCTTAGGGAGGTAAGGTCAAGAGAAAGGATTATTTTGTTTTGTTTTTAAAGTATGAGGGAAACAATGCCTGGCACTTGGTAGATGCTTAATTAGTATTCTATTCTCAATTGACTGATTTGGTTGAGTTTGTAAGCAACAAAAAATAAATCAGTAGATTAGAGGAAACTGAAGATCAGGAGGGAAAGAATGGGGAAGAGAGAGAGAGAGAGAGAGAGAGAGAGAGAGAGAGAGAGAGAGAGAATTATGTGGAGGTAACCTAATTCCATGATTTGATAGACCATGATGTAGAACTAGAATCTGCTTTTCCTCCTCCATCCCTCCCCCCAAGAGAAAAAGAAAAATCTGATTTGGCAAACAATTGAAATTGTTGTTTAATGTAATTATTCTTTTCTTCTTTAAAAGATAAGTGCTAGGGGCAGCTAGGTGGCGCAGTAGATAGAGCACCGGCCCTGGATTCCGGAGGACCTGAGTTCAAATCCGAACTCAGACACATAACACTTACTAGCTGTGTGACCCTGGGCAAGTCATTTAACTCCATTGCCTACACCAAAAAATAAATAAATAAAATGTAAGTGTTATGGGGACTGGACTGTTTTCTATTTATCTTCATACTACCAGCTTTTAGCAGTGCCTGGCATGTAGTAATATTCATTCTTAATGAATGTTTGTTGATTCACTTGATTCCTGAGGTATTTATTAATCTTCTACCTTGCTTTAAAAGTTTTCAACTTTTGTATCTTAAATGGAGAATGAAGGAGGAATGAGGTGATGGCAGACAGAAAAAGAAGTGATATAGGTAAGAACCAGGGGGAAGAGGAAGAGTCACTCCAAATCAACTCTATAAGATCTTAGTGGTCAGCCTTGAACTGTCACTCCCTGGATACTGAGTTTGAAGAGTTTCTTAAGCTTTCCCTCAAATAGTTCTGATAATCTCTTTATTTAGACACCCATCAATCTGGACTAACCAAAACCATTTGTAAAATGATAATTGACCTGTCAGGGTTCTAGAAGTAAACTTGTCATTCCCATCTTTGTCATGAATTATTTGACTGAGACATTTTACTTCGAGCAGTTCATTAGGATCAGGAAATTAACAAGAATGGTTTTGATGTGAGTAGCGAGTGTTAAAGATCCCATAAACTCTAATATAAACTCTTCAAAAGATGTGCTATTTCGTCAGTTTCGGAAGCTAGCTTTAAGAGTCAGATGGTTTCAGGAGTTGCTATGATTATCAAGTGCTTGTCAGACTTCTAGTGTTGAGTTTCTTCGCCCAACTCAGGATCTTTTCAATTTAGTACTTGGTAAAGATATTTGTTGGATGACAAAACTTTGCAATGTTCAGGATCAACAGCAGATGTCAATAACTGAAAATCGCAGTGCCGTAGTTGATAAACGAGTAATCTAAAGGTATGGCAGCGGTGGGATTCGAACCCACGCCCCCGAAGAGACTGGAGCCTTAATCCAGCGCCTTAGACCGCTCGGCCACGCTACCGGTTAGAAAGCCAAAAAAAAAAATAGAAAAGTTATTCATTCTTTATCTTCTTTGTCTAGATGATCGTATATTTGAGTTGTTTTTTTTAATGTATTGCGTTTTTTTTTTCCAAATAGAGGTACTTTGAAAGAGCTGAAATGGACTTGTTTAGAAATTCCAGCTAGATAAAGAGAACAAAGAAAGGAAACTGAAAGGACTGTGCTACGAAGATATATTTAGCTTCTTTGTCTTAGAAGTGGGGACTGAGGGATAGGGAGTAGGGGAGTGGGGTTGAGACGAGATTGGGGAAAGAAAGAGGAGGACGAAAAGTGAGATAAGACAAGAAGATTATAAAGGGGGTGGGTAGGACAACAAAGATGGTGGGGAGCATGACAGGGGAGGGAAAACAGGGAGAGGAAGGAAGACCCATGGTGGCTGGAGAAGGACACTTAGGGGGAGGGGGAAGAGGAAGAACCGAGGGGCGGGGGAGAAGAGAGAGGAGGATAGATTGGGGGAAGGAGGAAGACAGAGAGAGGAGAGAAGAGGAAGGAAGCAGTCTCTCCTCATCCCGTCCTCATACGGGACACAGTCGGAATAAGGAGAGAACAGGAGGACAAACTCAGGGTTAAAATGAATCACGCGGAGTGGCGTCTCCTATATCCATAGAAGCATACGATTCCGGGCGTGAAAAGGACTTGGCATTTCTTACATCCCTAGGCCTTCAGATAGAGCAATAACTTAACCACCGAAGACAGGAAAGTATTTCTTGTTTTTTAACCCCTCTAAACGTTGCGCAAACACAGGCTCTCCTCCTCTGTCACTGGGCATTCCCAAAGATTCCTCCTTTTCCACCAAATCTCTAATCATATTTCAATACTGCAATGGTGTCCCAATCCAAAAATACAGCATTTCAAGAGTTTGAGAACATGAACTCATTTATTGCGTCCAGCAGGTGGCTCCAGATTCCCAACTGTTGCTGAAAAAAGCACAGAAAAGTTTGACGTGGCTGAACTCTTTCCTGAAGTAAAAGAATTTCGAGAATTTTGATAGATGGCTCGTTGGTCTAGGGGTATGATTCTCGCTTAGGGTGCGAGAGGTCCCGGGTTCAACTCCCGGACGAGCCCTTTTTCTGCGTGTGAATTTCGGCCCTGGGAAGTTTTTTGTTTTCATTTACAAAAAAGAGAAACATTTATGTCTGCTAAAATACGTTTAATAATAACATGTAACATTCAGATGCCTCTTTCAAATTGTCAGAGGGTATTATATACGTTATCTCATTTGACCCACGCAGCAAACTTGAAAGGTAGGTGTTCTTGTCCCCCAGTTTAACAATGACGAAATTGAGATTCAGAGTCTTTATATATAGACCTACTGATAATCTAACATCCACATCTTCTCTGGAGGAACCTATTTCTCTTTATACTGTATGCAGTGTATGGGATGTATTAGCTCTCTAGTAGGATAGAGGAAAGAATAGGAAAGACCCTTGACTTCCGTTAACTCTTCAGGGATAGGGAAAGTTTCCTTTCCCTCTAAAATCATAGGATTCCTAGACTTGAAGCCAATTAATCATTTGATGAACATCTATTTGGGTCCTCCTATATGCCAGGCACTGGGGATAAAGGAAAGAAAGAAAGAAAGAAAGAAAGAAAGAAAGAAAGAAAGAAAGAAAGGAAGGAAGGAAGGAAGGAAGGAAGGAAGGAAGGAAGGAAGGAAGGAAGGAAGGAAGGAAGGAAGGAAGGAAGGAAGAGTTGCTATCTTCTAAGACAGGAGTGGGGAACCTGTGCCCTCCAAACTTGGATTCAAAGGGCTGCACTTGAGGGCCTAGAGGGCCACATGTGGCCTGAAGGCCACAGGTTCCCCACCCCTGCTCTAAGACATGGAGGTGAGGAGAAAGTATATGTCAGGCATATTTGTGCAAAGGCTGGGGAGACAGATGGAATGTCTTAGGTGAGGGATAGACATTGAGTTGTTTGATTTGACTAAAGAATGTAAGGGGGGGGGAAGTACAATAAATATGGAACAATACATTGGAGTAAGATTATGAAGGGTTTTAGATACTGAACAGAGGATTCTGTATTTGACCCTAGAGGTAATAGGGAGCTTTTGGAGTTTATTGAATAGGGAAGTATGATAGTCAAACCTTCATTTTAAGATCAATTTGAAAACTGAGATGATGTACTGGAATGGGAAAACACTTGAAGCAAGGAGAGGAATCAGAAGGCTACTGAAATAATCAAATTGTGAGGGAACGAGGTCCTGCAGCAGCCCTCTGAGAATGTATGGGGGCATATATGAGAGATGTGATAACCATAGAATTCACAGAACTTGGCAACAGATGTGATATCTGGAATGAGTGTGAGTAATGAGGAGTCAAAGATGACAATTAAAATGAAAGCCTGAGTGACTAGGAAGGGGAAGAGAATGATTTAAGCAGACACATGCCAAGTGCTTCACAAATATTATCTTATTTGATCCTCACAATTCTGCAGTAGGTGCTATTATTATCCTTATTTTACTGTTGATAACACTAAGGGAAATAGAAGTTAAATGACTTACCCAGTGTCACACAGGTTGTAAATGTCTGAAGCCTGATTTAAATTCAGGTCTTCCTAATTTTAGGTC